GCCCATCCCTCGATCTCTGCTTTCCATCCATCCATCCATCCATCCATCCATCCATCCATCCATCCATCCAAGATTTAACCATTATGAATTGTGCTGCTATAATCATGGGTATGCAACTATTGCTGTAATTGATATCTTTAGCTCTTCTGGGAAGATACCTAAAAGGGGAATATCTCAGTCAAATGAAATTTCTATTTTTACTTTTTTGAGGAATCTCCATTTGGATTTCCATAGTTGTTTTACTAATGTCTTCTAACAACAAATGAGCTCCTTCTCAACTCACTATTTGCTATTATTTGATTTCTTGATGATATCCGTTTCATCAAGTAAGTTGGAATCTTGGTGTTGTTTTAATTTGCATTTTCCAATGGCCAGCAGTGTTGAGCATCTTTTCATATATTTATTGGCCTTTTGTACCTCTTATTTTCTGAAGTATGTATTCATTTTTGCTTGCCCATTTTTTTGACTTTTTTTTAGTTTCCTGTGGTCCTTTTTTGAGTTCTTTGTATATTCTGGGTATTAGTCTTGTCAGAGGAATAGCTGACAATTTTTCTGCCGATTGTCTTTTCATTGTGTTGATTGTTTCTTTTGCTCTTCAGAAGCTTTTGAATTTGATATCCCATGTGTTGATTTTCAGTGGGGTCTGTTCAGAATGTCTTTGACTATGCTTAAAAAGTTTACCTATTTTGTCTTCTAAGAGGCTAAGTATTTCTCTGTAATAATTTAGTTGTTTTAATCTTTATTTTAAAGAGAAAAATTAAACAATAAAACAGTTTCAAAAGAAGGCTAGTGGGAGAGTTACAATAATTAATATATTGTATATTGTTGTCTTCATAGTAGCTAAAGTACAAGATATTTTGTCCAAACAACATCACAAAACTTTTTCAGTGAACTAAGAGAAAATAACAGTATACCTATCTTGTGTATACATATATTTGTTTCTTTTTCCTTTTCTTCCTTTCCCCATCACATTTTCTTTTAGTTTTGAACAATTTCTTCCCTATTTGTGATATATGTTGTACAATTTGAATCATAGTTATTCATTCACAGTTTCCTAGACTACTGAGATAATATTATGTTTACACATATGAGCATGATTGATTTCACTTAGGAGTATGATCTTGAGTTATATCCATTTACTTATAAAAAGTCTTCAGCTTAGTCTGGCTGTGTGATACTCCATTGTATAAAAAGGCCACATCTTCTTTATCCATTCCTTGGTTGGTGGGCATTTGGGTAGTTTCCAAGATTTAGTTACTACAGATTGTACTGCTATAAACATAGGTGCACATATATTGCCATGGTATGATGTTTTGTTTTGAAATTTTCATTTATTTATTCATTTGGTTCAAGGTCTTACTACATAGCTCAGACTCATAGTGATCCTCCTGTCTCAGCCTCCTCAGTGCTGAGATTAAAGGTGTGTGCCATCATGCCCAGTTTCAGGGCCAGCACAGCATGCCCAGGAAGGGCTGGCATAGCCTGATATGGTACCAAGGATTGAACTCAAGTCCTTGTGCTTGCAAGATACCCAGAAGAATAGATGAGTGAAATGGGACCTCTAATTCTGCTTTTTACAGGACTCTACACACTGATTTCCACAATGGTTGTACCAGTTTACCCACTAACAATGGTAAAGGGTTCCTTTTCCCCTATAGCCCCCAGCATTTGTTATTGGTTCATTTTTTGAAGATAGCCTTTCTTTCTGGGGTGAGATGGAATCTTAGTGTCATTTTAATTTGCCTCTCTCAAAAGGCCAAGGATGTTAAAGGTTTTTTTCATATATTTATTTGCTATTTGTATTTCTTCACCTGAGAAGTGTGTATTCTCAGATGCTCATTTTTGAGTTGTGTCTTTGAGTTTGTGAAGTCTAATTTTTTCTCAATTTTTTGTATGTTCTAGATTTGAGTCTTTTGTTTGAGGGATAACTGGCTGTAATTTTTTCCCATCCTGTGAGTTGTCTTTTCACTCTGCTGGTGATTTGTTGTGCAAAAGCTGTTTAATACGATGAGATCTCTTTTGTTGATTCTTTATTATATTTCCCTGCAGTCTGAGTTTTTTTTTAATGAAGTGTCTGCCTACACCTATGTCTTCAAGATTTTTGCTTATATTCTCTTTCAATAAATTTAGTGTTTCTGTTTTAGCATTTAGATCTTTGATCCATTTTGACTTTAATCATGGTAAAAGACATAGTTTAGTCCTAGTTTTCAGCATGTGGAAAGCCAGTTTTCCAGCACTATTTATTAAAGAGACTATCTTTCTTCCATAGAACACGTTTGGCTCCTTTGTCATAGATACAGTGGCTGTGTGTTTTTGGGGTTGTTTCTGCATCTTCTATTCTGTTCTGATGATCCTTAGGCCTGCTTTTTTTTTTTTTTTTTTTTTTTTTACAATACCGTGCTGATTTTATCAGAGTAGCTTTTTAGTACAGTTTCTGCTCAGGGATTGTAATGCTCCATGACTTCCCTTTGTTGCCCAGAATCATTTTTGCTATTCTAGGTCTCTTCTGGTTCCAGATAAATTTTAGGAATGTTTTCTCTAGATCTGAGAGGTATGTATCATTAAGTTCTTTTAATTTGTATTTATTTTAGTTTAGTGCACAGTGAAGTTATGGGTCTTGGTTCAATCTTATGCATGTGTATAACTACTTTCCCTGAACCATTTAGTGAAAAGGCTATTTTCCTCCCTGTATGATTTTAGACTCTCTATCAAATACAAGATAGTTTAGTGTTGATTAGCTTAACTTTAATACTCAACTCTGTGCGGGTAATTCTTAAGCCACATGACATATTTTCCTACTTGAGTTTCCTTGCACATGCTGCAATCTGCGTGCTGTCTTCTAGCACCTTGCTTTGTCATGTTGTAATGGACAGTGTGGGTGCCCTGCCTAGATCCCCATCTTTTCTAGTGGTCCTGCCAGTGAAAAGTTGCTCTTTAATAAATGAGAATTGCCACATCAGGCATTCTATGTGTTCCTTCTCCATTCTCTCTCCACTGGGAATAGCTATGTTAAGGGTTGTAAAAAGCTGGCCTTATTTCCTCAAGGTGGCATCAGCTCTGCAGAACTATTAGTGCTTTCCGTGAAATTAGATTGAGGCTGACCCTAAATGAGATCATATTCTTGTTTTGCTTTTTTTCTTTTTCATTTCTCTTAATATCTTTTTTACTGAGAATAATCCACCAACAATTCAGTTGAACAGAATTTCTTCTCTCAGGCTGAGCATAGAATAGGACCTAAAATACAAGCCAAAATTGATTTTGTCAACCTCTTCTTAAACTGGGTGTGCTTTTTATGTTTACAGTCCCAAATAATATCATTTTATAACCTCAATCTATAAATATGAAAGTCATGTTTGGCTGCTACTTATTCTTATATATCAACTCCCTCAAACTTTTTGATCTCTGAATGTCTTTATAATATTTTAAATTATTCTTAAACTATTTTAAATTATTCAGGACATAAAAGAACTTGTGCATATGTAGGGTTACTCCATCCTTATTTGATGTATTAGAAATTAAATATTTAAATACTTGCAGGCAGCAATACAAACTACTGTATATACATCAACATAAAAAATAATGTAAAGGAAAACGACTATACCGCTAAGTTAAAAGTTTAGTTATAACAATAACATTTGTTTTTATTTTTATAATTTTTTTTTACTATCTCACAGGAGTTTCTGGTTTCTTATTCTGATCATTTAATTCTGCATTTAGACTGTGACAGTATTGCAAATTATGTAGCCCCTGATAGTCTCCACTAGGTCTTGTGAGAAAATGAGAGTGAAAAAGGCAAATAATGTCTTGTACTTTATAAAAAGTTTTGATGTTGCAGACCCTGTGATAAGGGCTTGCTTACATTTTTAGAAATACTGCTCCATATGAATTTATATATTTTTTTATTTTTTTAACATTTATTTGTGCGTGTGTGTGTGTGTGTGTGTGTGTGTGGCCAGCTCAGCCCACCAGGGGGCGGGGCTGGCATGTGGTGCTGGGGATTGAACTGTGGTCCCTGTGCTTTGCTAAGCTTGTTCCAAGTAGGTGCTTTAGACCACTGAGCCATCTCACCAGCCCTCCATATGAATTTATAAACAAATTTTATTGATTTTGCCATCAACTGGTTAGCAGTGTAGCAAAACATGTGAACTGCAAACTCAAACTGGCTGTCAAATCCTAAGCAGAATTCTTTTTCTTATGCCATTCAGCTTAGTTTTGATGTAAAAGAACTCATTGGTGGGATCATTTGTGATCTGCTTCATGGTATATAATTGAGGCTTCCAGTGAGGACAATACATAAAGCTGCTTATTGAGTTCTTTTTTATTCTCTAAATTCTAATATGTGTTGTAGGTTTGTCTTCTTTATTTTAATGATTCGAAATTTTTATGCCAAAGGAAATATTTTGTGTTTGTGCTATAGTAGTCACTAGCCACGTGTGATTGTTGAGTACTTCAGATATGAATTTATAAAAATGAATTGAATTGAGGGGAAAAGATCAGCCAGTGAGTGATGATTTTCTGCTGTCACACAACAGCTAAGTAGAGCAAGTGGAGTCTTTAAGACTAGAAACTTAAGGAGGAAGAGAAGAATTTGGAAGAGGAACTTCCTGTAGAACTATCGAAGATACAGTGATGCTTGCCTAGCACATAGGGCAAATAAAAGGAGATGCCAAGAGGGATTTATGCTAGAATATATACAATACAATTGTATTTGAAATCATGAAGTCATAATTGTAAAACTTTTCCTTAATTTAAAAACAAATTCATGATCATTGCTGATATATATGGCAAAAGGATACAATACTATTTTCTAAAAAGGATAAATGATAAAGAAAATTTTTAGAACAGGAATCATTCTCCTAACCTGAGATGTGGCAGTTACACATAAGGATCTATTTATTGAGTCTGTATCTCCTGTACAACTCTCCATGTGCCCCTGTAAAGAGACTGGTTCTTTCTGACTGAATGTTTATTGATGCTCTGAAATCTTTATTTCTGCCTAGGGTGAACCCATCACTTTCTGTGAGGAGAGTTTTATAAAGCACCGCTCCAGCGTGATGAAACAGTTCTTGCAATCAGCAGTTAACCTTCAACTTTTTAAGCAGGTAAGAGTGAACCTACATGTTTTTAGTCTATAACAGACTATTATGATTGTTACCCATTTTTATCACTCTAAAACTATGTCGAAAATCTGAGTAGAATCTTTTCCTGAATTTTAGGAGATTTTTCTTTTCTTTTGTAACTCCATAGCTAGATATAGAATAGCACTTTGGAAATATAGTATAATTTTGCTCTTGAAAAATTCTTTATCAGAAGTAGCAAAGCTCAAGGTTTCACTGGAGAAAGGTGTACATTCATAGAAACAAAAGTCACATAATGAGTTTAAAGTTCTTGAGAAGGAATTATTTTGGTATAGTAGATTGGATTGATAAGGTAAACAAACTAGAACAGTTCCAGTATAATCTATTTTATAAAATATTGAATAACATATGAATATTTACTAATATTTTAAGCTTTGTATGAATTTTCCTAGCCACACTTTCAAATTTAAAAGAAAATTTATATTTATGTTGTATATGTTGAGGTTTGGTTCAGAAAATATAATTGCTAGTTCACAAAAGCAAAAACTTGACATCAAAATTCAGCAATTTTCAGCACTCTTGTTCTTTCATCCTATTGTAGGATCATAGCAAGTCTTAGATTATGATGCCTTCATCTTTGTCTGTATGACTTAAGTTCTTAATACTTGCTTTTCTGGAAGTAAGTATAAAATTAGCTTTGTGAATTCAGTATGCAACAAAGACTTATAATTGCTTGATGCCAGGATAAACATATAGTGCCTTTGAGAAGCTGTCATCTAATAGAAATTTCTTTGGACTTCTAGAAGGGGAAGAACACCATATACTTTAACTCTTAGATGGCTAAAAAAGTAATCATTTTAGCAAAATCTTATCTATATTTATATTATCATTATCTTATTATCTATATTAGAAAATTTAAAAAATAATCTGAGGTTACAAAATACTCTGGTGATATAACTGTCTTCCAATATGTAGACTTTATTGTAGATAAGGCTTCCACTTATCATATATAAAAGCACTAGGAGCATGCATTTTAGAATCAGCTCTACAGATGGAGCTGTTGCCCTTAAGGTCTTTGTCCCTGGATGTCTCTAAGCTTATGCTGAATCACTTCCCAAGGCTGTCCAGAGCATCAGTGGTAGTGCTGCATGAATGCTGAAGTCAGCACAGTGCATTCCCAAGCCAGACATCCAGTGCTTTCTTGTTGAGTTAAAAATTAGTGCTGTTTTGCATTTGCAACCTATCAAGAGGAGATGCTCCTTTACATTATGAGAAATGCCCACAAAGATAAAATTTTATACTGGTAAGACTGAATGAATATATAGAATATCAAACTTCTTACTTTCCTCTATAGATTAGGTTCTATGAAGTTAATGTGATATAGTAAAAAAATAATTCTGCATAGTAATTTTTGGCATTTGAATTGCATTTTTGGAATTTATTTTTCAGGAGTTAGGTAGAGTTGGGTTAGTCTTTATCACTTAATATCTGTTTGTTTTGAATACATATTTCTTTTTGAAAATAGAAATATTACCACTTACATGTGTTGTGGTAGTTTTATGTGAATTAGTATATACATATTCACCATGGTATGTAGTATTTTGTAGATGTTCTGTAAAAAATTACCTTCAAAGGAACAACATATTGACCAAGCTTACTTCACATAGGCAGCAGTAGACTACAGAAAATTCTGTAAGATATTGTATGTTGGGGAAAAACATTGCAACTGGCATACCAACTAAAACATCTTTTTATTACACGAATGACATGGAGACATTTCCCAACAAAAACTAAGTTTAGCCCCTTGCGTTGGCTTTATTGATATGTCCATGTGTTGTTGGGAATGTCATTGGTGAGCTTGTCTGAATCACTGGGAAGGCTTTAAAAACAGGACTCAGATGTTTGGGTAAGAGAAATTCAATCTGTTGAATACAGCCTTCAACCCTGGCCTTGTGTTCTATTTTGTCATGATTCTCCTTTATTTATTGCTGGCCTTGGGTTCTATTTTGTCATGATTATTCTTTATTTATTGCTTCTTCTGTCATCTTTAGACTTTCTTAGTTAGATAAGCCAATTTCTCATTGTAAGTTGTGTGTGTGTGTGTCTTTCTGTGTGTGTATGTGTATGTAAAATTTCTTACTGGTTCTTATTCTCTGGTTGAATTCATTCTCTCTCTCTCTCTCTCTCTCTCTCTCTCTCTCTCTCTCTCTCTCTCTTTTCTCTCTTTTTTTCTCTCTTTCTCTCTCTCGGAACCGGGGATTGAACTCAGACCCTTGTTCTTGCCAGGGAAGCGCTTATTCCACTGAGCCATCTCCCCGGCCCCCCTGGTTGAATTCTCACTGCCCTGCCATTAGTGCAAAGAAATACTTCTTAAGGAAGTATTTTAAGGAAGAGTTGCAGGAAGAAAGAAAGTTTTCTCAAATGGAGGATCTAAGATGGGATGTCTTAGATGAAAGAAAAAAAGAAGGATGAAAGAAGAGGTCAATACGTGGACTACAGTTAAATGGTAGTGACTGTATAAGGCATAATTTCTTGTACACATTTAAGAACTGAATGTTTCTAAATTCCTCTTGTCCTTGCATATCTGTGTCATTTTCATAGATTTAGGAAACTTTCTGTTCTTTTTCCATGAATAGATTTTCTATGCTGTAGACTGAAACTCAGCATCCTCTTCTCTACCAAAAATTTATTGTTCAATTATTTTACTATATGCTAGCATTTTTGGAATGTCTTATTTATAAGTTTTTGTTTCTTTTCTTTCATTCGTGTCTGCATGAAATCATTCCTCAAACTTAATCAAATTCTGAAATTCTGACTTCTGCTGTAAGAATAGTATATATCCTATCTATTGGTGAGGTGCTCCACTGAGTTCCTGAGTTGACTTACTGCATTGTCTCCTTCCAGCCCTTTATTTGATTCTTCTTCAGAATCTCTCTTTGTTGAACTGAATTTTTGTATCCTTAATTCATTTATTCTTTAGTTCATTTTTTGTTTATAACTTCAATTAATTAATTATTTATTTTGGTGAGCTCAGCCCACCCTGAAGGGGGGCTGGCGTGGCATATGATGCCGGGGATCAAACTGTGGTCCCTGAGCAATTGCCTAAGCTTGCCTAAGCAGGTGCTTTAGACTACTGAGCTATCTCATTGGCCCCTATTTATAACATTTTGAAGTTATTATTTCTAAAATGTATCTTTTGACTTTGTTTGTATTTCATCCACTTTGATGTCTTTTTATTCAGTTACTAACAAGTTACAAATATTTGGAATAGTCATGCTAGCTTGCGTTCCCATACTTCTCATGTTTCTATATTGAGATTTGTGCATCTGTTGTGTTGGCTATCTCTTCTACTTTATGAGTCTTCTTAATATCTATTGTGTGTTTTTCCCCCTGAGGTTTTGCAAGCTTGTGATTGAGATTTTAAGTTCCTCTGTATTTCTTTGACTCTGCTTCATGAGATCTATTTCTTTCCTGTATTGTTCATTGAAAGATTCCATCGTTTTTCTGATCTCCATTTTTTAATCAGTGTCTTCTTGTGAAGCAGTTATTCTTTCATTATAGTTATCCTTTCTTTTTTTTAATGTCAGAGATTATTTCTGATCTGATTTACTCTATGTTTCTACCTTTGATTCTTCACTTTAGACGCTGTGGACCTGATCTGCTGCCCCACTCAGTGAGGAGAAATCAAACTATAATAATGATGATGCTGTAGACTAACCAGATATTGACATACAATAAAAACTAGTTAAAAGCAAAGAAAACAGTACCATTAAAGAATCAGTAATAATAAACTAAAAGGCCAAGTGTTAATAAAGATTAATGATATTGGGGGTAGGGTGAAGGAAAAATAGTAAAATTTTAAAGAGAAAAAAAGAACAGTGTTATGTGAGAAGAAAGAGAAAATGTGAGATAAAAACCCAATGAAGGAAAAAAGTAAATTAGTTAGAAGTAACTGAAAAAACAATAATCAAGAAAAGAAAAAGGAAACCAGAAAACAAAGTGAAAAATGAAATAATTCCAAAAAGTTTCTCAAGGTAGAGGTATGTCTTTCCAGGCTGTGTAATGTTAGAATCCAGATATGTGGGAGAGACAGCAATTCACAATGGGCATCTGTTGTGTTTCCACACCCACATAGCTGGCTGTTGCTGTGTAAACGCCGAGTGACAACTCATGTTTCTCCAGGAGTGGGGTCAGTGAATGGTGCGTTGTCCACTTCAAGACTGTATTCACTCCAGAGGTTCTTAGGAGTTTTTTTCTCCTTTTTTTTTTTTTTTTTCCTTTTTTTGCTGTGCACCTTGAGCCATTACTGTCCCCAACTATCTTTGCAGCCTGTGAGTTCAGCTGCTCCAGAGGCCCCTCTCTCCATATGCACAGAAATATAGGTAACATAGAAACAGGAGCATTTCCCTGATCACGTTGGCAAGTGGAGAAAATAAACAGAGTGTGGAGTTCAGCGCTGGGAGGATGCAACCAGGTAGCCAGCTAGTCCACTGGAGTCGGGCTCTGTTTTCAGAGCCAGGCTGTCAGAAAGCTATACACAAGAGACCCAACTTCTCAGCCAGGGGAGCCTGTCCTCCTCACAGAGTGGAATCACTGTGTGCTCTGTCAACTTAACTTGCTGCTGAAGCTTCTCATAGGGTCTGTGACAGCCACCTTTCCACGTTATTTCCTGTGGCCATCTTTTAGTTACTACAGTTGTGTGACATCAGAAAATCTAAAGTATGGTTGTGCTTTCTATGCACAGAATAAATAATAAATAATAAACTTGTGGCTTAACTTACACTTTTAGGGTGGTTGTAAAAACCTTCCAGATTACTACAAAACATGTTCTGTGGGATATATAATTGTGTGAAAGACTTCACAAGACACAGATGGAGAATTTTAAATGATTAGTAAGAATACAGAAGATATTCAACCTTATTTGTAATGAGTGACTTTCAAATAAGAAAACATAACAAAATGTTACTTTTCATCTACCAGATTGGCCAACTTTTAAACATCTAGACATGCCAAATTTGAATGAG